CACTAATTGAGGAACGCAATGCGGACATTATGGAGTCAAGTGCATGAGGTGCACGAATGGGTGTATGCGAGACGGAAGCGGATGGGCCGGCGGTGGAGATGAGCTCGTATACAAATCCTTGTTCTACGCCAACATGTTTTTCAGGGTCTGGCGAAGCAAAAATAAGCAGCCAAATCTTGCAAAATGATAATTCGATAAATATTGCCTTCGTGTAAATGACAATTTGATCAGCATTGTTTCTATTAGACTCTCCTCTGATCCACCATTGACTTGACTGATGAATTATGGAATCGAACATCATTAAATATTGTGTTAATTTTCTCCAACCTTTCTTGAAATCATTCCAAATATTTGACGACAACAGAGATAAATCAGAACATTACAATCATGTTAAAACAATAGTTAAATTTATATATAAGCGAAAAATCCATATAAATTCATTGGAGTTGGTGACAAAAAAATTGTAATTTTTATCGGACAATTCTAGTTCCAACTCATAAAACCCCCTCAACATGATTTTCACCCCATAAAAATCATCCCCCAATTAATCCTCCCCCAACATTAATGCGACTTTATCGAAAACCGGAAAAACCCCCCGAAGAAAAACGATGTCCCACTAATTGAGGAACGCAATGCGGACATTATGGAGTCAAGTGCATGAGGTGCACGAATGGGTGTATGCGAGACGGAAGCGGATGGGGCAGCGGTGGAGACGAGCTCGTATACAAATCCTTGTTCTACGCCAACATGTTTTTCAGGGTCTGGCGAAGCAAAAATAAGCAGCCAAATCTTGCAAAACGATAATTCGATAAATATTGCCTTCGTGTAAATGACAATTTGATCAGCATTGTTTCTATTAGACTCTCCTCTGATCCACCATTGACTTGACTGATGAATTATGGAATCGAACATCATTAAATACTGTGTTAATTTTCTCCAACCTTTCTTGAAATCATTCCAAATACTTGACGACAACAGAGATAAATCAGAGCATTACAATCATGTTAAAACAATAGTTAAATTTATATATAAGCGAAAAATACAAATAAATTCATTTGAGTTGGTGACAAAAAAATTGTAATTTTTATCGGACAATTCTAGTTCCAACTCATAAAACCCCCTCAACATGATTTTCACCCCATAAAAATCATCCCCCAATTAATCCTCCCCCAACATTAATGCGACTTTATCGAAAACCGGAAAAACCCCCCGAAGAAAAACGATGTCCCACTAATTGAGGAACGCAATGCGGACATTATGGAGTCAAGTGCATGAGGTGCACAAATGGGTGTATGCGAGACGGAAGCGGATGGGGCAGCGGTGGAGACGAGCTCGTATACGAATCCTCGTTCTACGACAACCACTGGGTTTGTTGGAGAGAGTATGCGGTGTGTGGCGGGACGGTGAATGAAGGGAAACACCGCCTGCTGGCGTGATTTATCACGCCACGGCATGCCACCCCCGTGCCATGCCATTTCCCGGTATACGTTATACCACCATGATGATACATGTGGGAGGGAGAGGAAAATGGGAGGCTTGGGGTATGGCCGAGGAATATCACGTGCATACCTACAACCAAACGGAAACGTTAAAACGACGAGTAGAGAGAGCTGGTTTGGGATTGTACCTCGAGTATTAATTGACGTCATCGATATTGGTATACGTCGACGAGCAGATTACCCCGCCGTAAACAACTGCCACCCCCCCTCGCCCCTCTCAATATGGTCTTTGGTGTGGGGGTGGGATTTTCACTTCTGTCACGGCACTTTGACACTCCCTAACTAGCCTCTCAGCTTGGAACATTAAATGGTGAAGGGGGGGGGGGGTGAGACTCTGATTTCTGAATCTGATTCTCGGTCTAAGCAGTTGTTAGGGGGAATGTGTGCGCATGACGATATATACCTCCCCTTGTCGGGTTTTCTGATTCGTGGAGGAGTGCACACGAGAAAATGAGACGTTTTTTGAATGAAATAAAAATCTATTTGGAATTTTTCTACTCGTTTTAACGATTTTTAAAGTGGAAATTAAACATCCAATTGTTGTTATTATTATTATTGTTGTTGTTGTTGGGGTTGTTTTCATTGATATTTCTTTCCTACTACCATTACGGTTTTATATGGTCCTCATTTGTCTGCGTTGCCTCTCTTATTTCTCTCTTCTGATTTATCTGCGTTATCATGGGTCGTCTTGCACTTCGTAATTTACTGAAATCGATTGGAAAATACTAGCTGCATGGGTATTGGTATAGCCCCCCCCCTTCACCGCTTTCCTAGCACGAAAAAATTGGGGAAAACATTTTTTTTGTTCAACAAAATTATGTCATTGCGAAATCATACGCTAGAGGGTAACTATCGAACCTGTTTTATGTTTGAAAATTTAGTTGAAATTTCGACAACAGTATTTTCTATTAGCGAATTAAATATGCTCGCTCTAGAATTTTTCATGTGCACTGAGCTGAAATTTAGTAAAAATTAATATATGATGATCAAATTTTATTCTACGTTAACATTTTATCCTGACGCATAATTTACCCTACCGGTACAGTAATTTTTACTCTATCGGCACGGTAATTTTCATTTTTATTAGGATAAAATTTCTCTAACGTAGAATAAAATTTGATCATCACATATTAATTTTCACTAAATTTCGGGATAGGAATGAGGAAGCGATGACTTTTCAAGATACACTTGATGATACACTTTTACAGAACGGTAGGAAAATTTATATAAAAAATTTCGCTCCGTGTAAAAAACTCTTGTCCTCTCAGTGTGTTCGTCCCCCGAAATGTTCATGTTCTCTTCAAATCTTTATCCCTCCCACCATTTTAAAAAATCTCATCAACTTCTAATTAATACTGAACAATTAAACATTCTCATCAATTTTCTATTATCAGTACGCGATACCCTATATATTATTCATCCTCGCATTATTAAAGAATCTATAACTCCCATGGAAAGAATATTTAAGTGGAAAACTGCTCGAGGCTGCACGGTGACGAGTTTTCGTATATCCTATGGAGGTAGTCTCGGTCGCGTGAACGACGCTTTATACGGCTCTGAGGCGAATCGCACACTTTTCCAGGGGCAAATCCAAGGTAATTGAATGCCCCCAGCCCCGGACATCCCTCCGTTTTCTATCTCACTTCGTTAAATTTTTTTCTCCCCCACCCTTCGGGCATTTATACCTATATATACGTGTATATAAAACCGCGTGTCCGTCGCGCATTCGTTCGCTCATCCCCCTTTTTCACCATCACTCAAACCCAATGCAGACTTATAGCTTTCAATAAAAATGTAAATATGGCGGGCATGGAACGAGCCAATGACAGCGCAACACTGAGGGAAACGAGAGTGAGTGAGCGGAAAGAGGGAAATATGGGGGTTGGTGTGTGCGGTGGGTGGTTTTCCAATGGGGGGAGGGGGTGGCTGGGAAATGGAAACGGCGTGAGCTATATGGACACGGACAATACGACCGCTGGGTGGGAGGGGGTGGCGTCGCGGTTGCCAAGTTGGGGATGAGGGGCGAACATTTTCCTGGTGTTTTTTTGGAAAAATTGTGGAAAAAAATTGTGAGGTGAATCAATCTCTGATTAGGGTGTTTTATTATTTCTTGGGGATATTTCAGCATCTTTTGGGTTCAGGATCACTCAGGAGGTGAGAATTAATAATAAGTTCTTTTGCTGAATGGAATTCAAAGTGACATTCGTCCGGAAATTAGTTGAATACACTGATAGAATGATTCATTTATTCCAAACGAGATTCGTTAACTATTAACGAATGGTAGAGTTGAATATGACCAAATGTATATTCGTTAATAGTTAACGAATGGTTCATTTGAATGGTGAAAGTCAAGTCAAACAGGGCTCCTCAAATATACATTCGTTAACTATTAACGAATGAACATTTGGTGGGACCGAATAGACCCTAACCTCCAACCAAAATCCATTCGTTAACAATAACTAATCCGTTCTATCAGTGTAAATGGAGAAATTGAGGCGATTTTCATGAAGCCCGGCTAAGAAACAAAAGAGTATTGAATAAAATTTTATTAAACATGAACAAACGAATCATAATTGTCCGAATCATTTAGGTCAGAGGAAAATAGAATAATTCTACTTTCTTAATATTGCGTTTACTAAGGTTTTCTTCGAACAAATTTGATTAGAATTAAGAGCTAGAATTATGAGATTATCTCACATTTTTGACGTTAAGGATAGGAGAATCTGAATGCAATATAGTGAAAATGATGATCGATTTTTTCACTTTGAACAAATAATATTAATATCCAAATACAAAATTTCTGATATGAATAAAAAGAAACTGTGACTCAATATTCCAAATGAAGTTTTAATTTTTAATTTGGTGCTGAAAACACGAGATGACAATATTCTAAGCACGGAATTATATTGATGAGATGAACAACAGATTAATTGAATTACCGTGTGAACTAACTAAAAATTGATAACAGTGTGGGCACGCACTTTTACCAGAGTATCAAAAACATTGAATTCCAGGAATTCACACTCTAAAGTGGGTTCTACGAGGAATTGAATTCAGTAGCGAAGCGGTAAACCGGGTTAAGTCGATTTTTACTTTTGGCCATTTTTTGATGAATATCTCGGAATCTAAGAGAAATAGCAAAATTTTGCTCACGACCTTTTTTATAACCCTCAGTTTGCTCTACAAAAAAGGTCGTGACAAAAATTTTTGTATTTCTTTTAGATTCCGAGATATTCGTCAAAAACTGGCCAACAGTTAAAATCGACTTGACCCGGTTTACCGCTTCGCTCCTGAATTGTAATTATGATTAAAATCTTATTCAGTGAGCGTAGGAATTAGAACATGAGCAAGTCATTCATTGTAATATGAAAATTTAACAGCTGATAAATTGGGACATATGATTCTCATCGGCCGTATTGCTTTTTGCGATGAGAATGATCATAACCAATTAATTGAAAAAGGGAATATCCAATCTAATACCACTCCGCATGTTCGTCTTACCTTCACTTGTGACTCCGACATTCCCAATGCATACGCCAACTTGGCCCTCTCGGGTCCAGCCAGATACTTGGTCTGTTCAAAAGTTTTTTCTAACGCGAAGATCTGCTGTCCACTGAAGGTCGGCCTCGTGTGCTTCTTCTTGCCATTATCGTGATCACTACCAGCTCCACCCGCTGCTCCCGCCATCGATTGTTGACATCCCAGCTGCTGTGATACTGCAACGTCCATCACATAAAAAAATAACGATTATGTAAACAAAAAAGAAGGACTTCCGACATTTGGCATTTTAATCTTTTGCATTATGAAGAAGAGAACGCATAAAAATCGTGGAAAATCAGGGCGCCACGATGGTTGTTACGAGACAAATAATAATCCAGTAGTGTTGGAGATGTGCTAATTAAAAAAAATGTAATTACGCCGGCAGTTGGGCGGAAGAGGGTTGGTTTGCTTACAAAAGTTGTGGAGGAAGGTGGTGGACGATAAAAGAGAGAAGGAGTTCAACGTAGGATTAAGCTGTAGTGGCCAAGTGGGAGCCCTGGGAGAATATGCCTCCATAAAATCCTTGTAACGTTGTTATAGGAGCTCAAGAATATTTGCGGGGAAGCATAATAAACTCGGTATTTTTCTTCCACAATATCTTCTCTATTTTTTTTTATTAAAAAAATACAAAATAAATACGTAAATACATAAATACATAAACGCATGAAAAATAATAAATGAAATTTTTTTTTTTACATTGTATAAATTGATTTCAAGATTTCAATTTTTTACGATCACCGATTTTTCCCATAAATAATTAAAAAAACAATCAATTTTCGATCTCAAAATAATTCTTTGGAAACTGCAATAAATTTTCGCATTCTCAAAATTCTAGCAGAAACTGATTTCTTGCCTAAAAATAGGGTTCCTAAAAGTTTAAATAATTTATATTATTTATTTTTAAGAAGATAATGTTTTCGAACAAAGTTGTGTTGACAATCCATGATTCATCTGAATTGTTCTAAGCCAATTTAATTTTTGAATTGAGCAAGAAAATGTCAAAATTTATTTAGATACCCTCAATTTGAAAATTCTGTTTGAATTTTTTCTCTCTGTGTAGAACAGAGAAATTATTCGCAGAATTAAATTAATAGCAAAAATCAACAGAAAATTGCTGCCAATATAAATCATGTTATCAATGATTTGGACCATTTTCCACTGAAGAAGATCTATTTTGTAACAAATTTATTATGCAAATTTAGCTCTCTATTTTGAATCATTAGGAAACATTTTTAAAATAGAAAAAATGATAAAAAGTCAATTTTTTTTAAAGTTTCATAAATTGATTTGAAGATTTCAATTTTTACGATCACTGACTATTCCATAAATAATTAAAAAAACAAGGAATTTGCAATCGCAAAATAATTCTCTGGAACTTGTAATAAATTTCCCCATTTCCAAAATTCCACCAGAAATGTATTTCTTGCAGAAAAAATAGATTTCCAAAAATTTAAATAATTCCCATTATTTATTGTTAACAAAACAATGTGTAAACAAAGTGCGGCATGTCGACCATCTCAATAGTTCTCACCCAATTAAATTTTTAAATTGAATGATTGAAAGTCTCAAAATATATTCAGAAATCCTCACTCTGAAAATTCCGTTTTACATAAAAAAAATTCATAAATTCCTCATCCATTTAATGCTTCACCCGCACGTGTTCCCGAGGCTATCAAGGTTTTTCCCTTCCGAATATGAAAAGATGAAGAAAAATAGAGATTAATTCGCTCATAACGTCTGAATCACGATAAATATTCAATAAAAGATGAATAACGGTTACAATATCCATCTAATTACTAATAATTGATGAGAGGTTATCCGCATGAAAATTAAACGTAAAAGCCCTCAATGGCCACGATACGTTGAACTCGAGGGGGCCCGTGCGATAATGTATTCCTACCAAAAGCACATTATGTATTCGCCCAGTCTACTACATTTATATCCGCAATTTGTGGCAGGACAATTTACGCTCATGAACTGTTCACTCCGAAGGATTTAGTCGAACCATTTGGTGCTCTCAGAGTGGATCTATAACTTGATTCTCCATTGGCAATCAACCCCCCCACGAGAACTGTGGACAGAAGTCAATGATTGAACTGGTAATTCGTGGCTAATCGATTTCTCAACTTGCTAAATATTTAATTATTTGCATTCTAAAATTCTAATTATTTACATTCTAAAATCAGTCATTAACGAGATAATTTCATTTTTCATCAGAAGATCGTATTTGGTTCGTTTTTCGTTTGATTTTGAAGAAAATATTCATTACATATGAAAAATTATGTGATATAAATTTGATGAATACAATTAATTAATTTCAGTAGTGAAGCGGTAAACCGAGTTAAGTCGATTTTGACTATTAGCCAGTTTTTGCTGAATATCTCGGAATCTAAGAGAGATAGCAAAATTTTTCTCACGCCTTTTTTTATACCGCTCTATTGGCTCTACAAAAAAGGTCATGACAAAAATCTTCTATCTCTTTTAGATTCCGAGATATTCGCCAAAAACTAGCCAATAGTAAAAAACGACTTAACCCGGTTTACCGCTTCGCTACTGATTTAAAAGAATCTAAAGATAAAAACTCAAAATTTCGAATTTTTATTACGATTTTTTAATGCTCTGTTTAGAACATCATTATCTTTGTATCGAATAACATCATTATTTTTATATCGAATGATATGAAATGGAAATATTTAAAGAAATTTCCTGTATAAAATTTTGTCGGAATGAAATAATTTCACTGGAAATTCACGAAAGCCATTAATGAAATCATTTAACTCGAGTTTATTGTTAGAATATTTAAGAAAGTCTTCATTTAAATCCCAAAATTCATCTCATACACAATTCAATCGACAGAAGTAGTCCATTTAAAAGCTATTCCAATAGATTTTTTTCAAAATTTTCAATTTTCACAAGATTTTCTCTCGTGTTCCATTTAAAAATTTGACAAACTCACACCAAAATCACGTGCATATATATCTACGATTCTTCCCATAATTGTCCGCGTGAAGATCGTCTAAATCACGAAAGCTCACGTGAGAAAATGAATTAATCCGAAATACGGTCATCTGTAATTAAGAGCTGAGTACAGTCGAGTCTAATGTGGCCAGTTCTGTGTGTGTGCGCGGCCCTGGTGGGACTTTAATTTAATAAAGCAATTTGTAACGGAATACGGAACGAGGCAATAATGGCCAGTCGGCGGAGAGGGTTCTAACGAGCTGCTTACCGCATTCCAGGCGCATATATATTCCCCGCTATCTCCAAACCCTGTGGGGGTATCCTTTTTAGCTATACCAAATGCGTTCAATGTCTTTTGCCCGGATATTGTATTCTATTGTGCGACTGCTGCGCGGGGTTGGAGATTGGTCAAGTTTCAGTTGAACTTCCTTCGAATGACCTTTTCATTCAGATGTAGAAATTAAGATTAACAGGATTTTGGAATTTTTTGTGAATTATTTCGGGCCAAAAGGATATTTTTCTTTCAATTTTGGAGAAATTCATCTAATTTTGCTCAAGTTTTCAATTTGTTTCCAGTTTTCCGTCCCGAAGAATCGCTTTTGAACGAAAAAAAATTAATTTTAATCATTTTCAAATGAGAAATTGCTCTTTTATTGCATAATAAACAATAATTTCCGACACGGGAATATTTCCTCATTGAATCCCATAACAATGTTCCCGCCATCACAAAAAGTAAATAGTAATGTGGGAGTGGATCGAGTGCCGGAAAATTAAATCGCCGACCAGAAGCGATGGAGCAGTCCGCGTCAGCAAGTCCAGAGTCATAACACGATTCTGTCGAGGATATCAAAGTGCGAAGCAGGGGTGGAATGAAGAAGAACAGATGATAGTTTTATATCCGTGTATCCACGAGCGTTTATGCTCGGAAAGAGGGAGGAAGAGTTTTATAGATGGATTCCATGGGTGTATAAGGGCATAAATAGCCAGCTCCCGTGGCGATCGTTCCGGCCTCACGAGGCACATCCACGATGAGAGGCACTACCTCCACGAGGATAAAATATATAACTCGAAACGTATCATCCACGTGTGCTAAACCATGTGCCCTTCTCTCTCTTGCTGGTATATTAGGTATCTGACTCTCTATATCGTTGGATTTTGATGGATAGTCTTGGGTCAGGTATTACCAAGTTTATTCGCGTTTTAATCTGACCACAACATAACTCCTCATTTATTCGTGTTTCACAAATTCAAGATAACTTCAAAATTGATGAATCAATAAAACATTTTATTTTATCAATTTTTGGAAATTCCCTAATTCTTATCGTTCAACTTTTCTTTTTCTTTCCGAACACGGAGAGGAATATTCAGTAAAAATGATGAAACTCACAATTCGCTCACCGATTACGGAATCGACTCAGAAAATTGAAGTGACGGTATCGTCATTTTTCACAGGAGATTACGATAAAAATTACGGAACGCTCCAGAATTGCGGGAAAGATACGTAATTTTTATTGAATATTTCTCTGTGTGAATGGAAGTTGTATAACCTTTTAAATTTCACACACTGTTGAAAATTTTCCACTGCAATTTCCGCCAAGAGTCTTGGAAATCTCTAATAAGTTATATTTCAAATGAAATTTCAAGGAATTTTGGTCACTGAAAATTCATAATTTCAAAGAAAAATCCGGAACTGTAAAATTCAGTTTAATGATTCTGGGGAAATGATCGAAAAATCAGGAAAATTCAGAGAAATTTATCCTTGAATTCCAGATTCCTCTGAATTTTCTGGGAATTCATTGAAAAACTCCTGAAATTCGAAGAATTTTGAAGTAATTCTCTGAAAATTCAAAGGAACTCTACGCGAGTAAAAAACTCATGGCACTTGCCCTGAAATACACTATTTCTCTTGAAAACTAATGTAAATTACGGAATTTCCGTCTTCCATTCGCTCAAAAAATGGGCTTCCCTTGAATTTTCAAAGAAACTTAAAATTCGGTTTCCGCTTAAATCAAGATTTTTGTCTGGAAAATTCTGCCAATTTTTTTCAACAGTGCACATGGGTTCATTGCATCCACAATTTTCACCATAAAAATCAATTGTTTGGAATCGCGACGAACTTATTCATATTCAGAATTGACCCAGAAATCGATTTCGATTATGGATTTATGAACATTCATTGTTTATAAACAATTAAACACAATTAGTTTATTGAGCGTGATTAAAATTAAATTTTGTACAGGAAATTATAATCGAAAACGATTGTAATTTCCCGTACAAAATGTAATTTTAATGACGCTCACTATTAATAATTTTTTAATAAAATGAAATAAACAACGAATTATACATGATAAAAGAAAATAATGTACAAAATAATCATTCAGAAGCATATCGCGAATTTATCAGCAAAAATGCTGTCCTATATGAAGGCGAAGGCAATCTTCCCCTTGTTTTTTTGATTGCAGTTGATCACCCTTTAATTTTCTAAGGAGAACCCGTCGTGGAATTCTCAATGATATTGAAATGAATTTTTATCCATCGAAAAACTTGAGCCTATTGAATAAAGCGCCTCATAACATTCACTACGATCAGAGATCCGACGGCGAGCAGAGGGCGTCAGCCGTTGGCGTTCAGCACCCCCTTGTGCTCCGGAAAAAGAAAAACCCGAGGGGTTTTTTCCGGTGTGGAAAAAATTCACCACCACGATAAGCTCAATCACCCCTCGGCGGTCATGCACACATGTGGCGTACGAAGAGATGAAGAACTTACATCTTCGGATTTTTCTTTTCATCTGTTGGGGTGGCTGTTGATGGTTTCCGATGATCGTGTGGACGATTTCATTCAATTGAGCCTGATTTTCCTCCTCCTCTGATAAAACGAGGAAGAAAATCAGCGCCAATAGCATTTCGATAAGTCGAAGCTTCAAATTGGACGAAATGTGGAGGAAGAGAATAGAAAATTAAAAATTACTAATTTAATATTAGTATATTTCGGTACGAGTGCGGAAAAGTGTTTTTTGGCTCGTGAGATTATATCACTCGCCTTCGGCTCGTGCTATAAACCTCCCACGAGCCAAAAAACACTTTTCCCACGAGTATCGAACGATATTTTTCGTGAAAAAGATTATTCACGATTTAATCTTTTCCACGATTAATCTTTTTATGAAAAAGATTATTCACTACAATTGACATACATTAAGCCCCATGGCATAGGAAATACGCGGGCGAACTTATCTAGTAAACGAAAAGGCACATTTCGGCACGAGGTGAACGTAGCAACGGTCTCAAAATAGTATATTTCGTTACGAGTGCGGAAAAGAGTTTTTTGGTTCGTGAGAGATTTATAGCACGAGCCGAAGGCGAGTGATATAATCCCACGAGGCAAAAATCACTTTTCCCACGAGTATCGAACGATATTTTTCATCACAATGTGTGGAAAAGGGACGTTTTAGGCAAAAAGTTACTTTTTCGCACAGCGTGATGAAAAATAACTTTACATTCTTCCGTTGTGTCGTCTTTTTCACGAATTGGTAATATTATCCTTGTCTAGGATTTTTTTCCCATCTTCAATGATGAAAATTGTTGTCTTCGCACGTGGAACAAGTGTAAATCTGGGCTTGTTCTACTCCAGAGAATATTTTCCCTCATCTCTACCAATCCGCCACATGTGGCACACCGTCGCTTGATCTATGCTTTCGGAAAGGGTGGGGGAGTACCAAGAGAGGGCGTCCAAGTGTCACGTGCTGCCGTGCAATTTCGGCACGATTTACACGCGGTTTCATGGTTAACTTAATCCCCCAAAGTACACATTCAGTTCCTTGTCTTACAAGAGTCCTCCCCTTTTCTTCAGAAGGATGAAATTGAGAAAGAAAATCTACTCACGTGAGTGTAACCTGGCCCGCCACGCCAGAGGATCGCTGACGAGTCCCTGAAGCCCGGGCCAATAAACCGCGGGATGACGGGCCTCTGTCCTCTGCTGAAACTGCCCAAGACCTGAAAGAAACTCTGCAATAAAATCTGGCTTGTAAAATATTCGAGAGTCATCAAGCTGTAGAAATAAAATGTTAAAGAGTCTAATCTCGGCTACATCTGGGCAAACTTCCTCAGATCTTTTGGATCAAGGCATTCGGATTGAACAGATTGGAAAATTCCTTCCGTTAGAATCAATCATAGCAACCATAACTTGAAAACCAAAATGATCTGTTAATATACTGCTCTCGATCCACTAGATTCTGAATTGGACAAGCATGTTTGACTGTCGAAGCTATGGAAACTTTAATGATCATGATCATCGCTTCTTCCCCTAATCAACAAATTAATCAACACCAGAAGCTAGGATTCAGGATAAAGGAAGCATTTTCTTCGGTAAAGGATCCTTGCTAAATCTAGAAGTCTTCGAACAACCGTTTCAGAAAATACTCTTGTCTTATCCCAAAGAGCGATACGACTCTTAGGCAAGGATGCTTGCTAGCAGAAATATAGAAGTCTTAGAACAACCGTTCCAGAAAATACTGTTATCTCATCCCGAGGGAAAGCATCTTCATGATGACAACCTTGAAAGCTTGAAGCTACAATGTTTCATTGCCTTCCAAGAAGGTCAAGAACATTGAATTCGCCGCTTTTTGAACCGAAGAAGAAGCTTCATAGTTATCTTTATAGCGTCCCAATCATCGCTCGCAGAATTCATCGGAAGGCAAAAGGCAAGAGTGTCCGCATCTTAAATCATTAACGCCAAAGGTTGGCTGACAGCAATTCAGCTGACAGCAGCATTCCACCTTTTGGTCTTCCTGAACACCCTTGCGTTTTGCGACGACGCATCATGCATAAAAGTCAACATCAGTGAAACCCTACCCGTAGAAGCGGTAAATCCCGCATGCATAGCATATCTCGGAGCCGTGAGATGTTGCGGATGCGTAGATGCCGGTGCCAAAGCATGTACCGCAGACACCGGTGCCTGAGGATGTGCAGCCGCTGGCCTCGACAGAATATTATCAATACCATGTGGATTACTACCGACGGACGTAATCGAGGTAGCCGGACTATGCTTTCCGCTGCCAGTCGGTGACGATTGTCCCTGCGGTGGTGTCGACACAGTCCCCCCCGGCAAATGCATCTGCTGTTGCCTCTGCAGTCCCTGCTGCACCTGAAGATGCTGATTCTGCTGATGACTCCTCTCAGCCATAGAGTGCAATGCAGCCAACGGCTGACTACCAAGCATACCCCCAGCCCCAGCACTGAGATTCAAAAACTGGAGAACATGCGGCGACGCTGCCGCATGAAAATCATGCAGCCAAGGTGGCCTCGGTGGTGGCGGTGAATGACTTGATGCTGGTGGTGGTGAACAAGAGCCCAGGGACGAACCCGCAGACGAACTTCTATCACCCGCATCAATATGACCATTACGGCGATGGGAATCACTAAGCGATGACATACTGTCAATCAGTAATCCTGTGCCAACGAGCTGAGACGTATCCTGCAATCTTTGTGTCTCTATTGCACCGTTGTCACGGATTTCCTCGGCACTAGTCACGGAGCACACCATTTCGATACGCGCATAATAATTTTAGGTAAAATTGTCACCAAGATCAATTTTACTGAGCTTTTGGTCAACTTAATTGAGTAACGGACGCGGCGAGAGGTGACAGTCTAGCTGTCTTAGGGAAGCTATCACAAGGAGCTTGCAATCCAAAGGTCCTGTCAATGTGAACTCGATGTCATCGTATCGGCCTCTCACCAAATGACCAAGTCCAAATTGAAGTTAAGACCCTAGTTTCTTCCTCAATAGCAAACCGTAATGATCAATCTGAATTCGTTGAGGATCACAACCTTTAGGTTCCGAAGACTGAGCTTGTTAATTATATATCCAATCACAGAATCACTTCACCATCATCCACTTGAACTGTTATGATTGATATCAATTTGTTCCTATTCACTTCACAATTGAGGTCCTTGATGGTTATTGAGAGTCTGGCTTTCAGATGCTCGTAGCTGGACAACACTGAGTCGAATGCTCAGGATCGTTTGCATCCTTGGTGAGATGATATTTTCTGCCCCCCCCCCCTCTCTCTCTCTCTTCAGTTTAGTTGAGTGAGTCTGTTTTCCATCTCCCCCTTCTGCTCTTCCTTCTACCAACCAAAGACTCAATCTGTCTCACTTGCCGCAACTGTAGGAAGAGTAGGCGTTACCAGCATGAATACCACATTCTGGTGAACAGAAAAGGGGGGAAGAAGATCATTTCTCTCTCTTTCTATCGTCTCTTGGTCCATTTGACTGGGGGATTCTGCTTGTGTTGGGGTGACCATCTACTATGGTAGGCGTGGCCAACGTGAAATCCCATTGGTGGGGACAATATCCCGCTACACCGGAAGTTCTCAATTCGCTTCACATTGGGCGTGTCCTCTCAATCTCGCGTTAGCTTCTTGTTAAGCGTCTTTCATTGTGTGTTTAAACTCGTAATTTATGATCCCGACTGAATAAAACAAGAGACGCGCCCGTACACCCACCACTACCCGGTGGAACCGCTTTCCAACGGGGATGAGGTAAATGGGCAACTCTCGGACCTCTTTGAGGGTGGGAGGAGGGGGGG